AAATGGCCCAAAACCAACCAAAAATGTCTCAAAACCAACCCAAGATATCCCAAAATATTGAAAAAACAGCACAAAATATAAAAAAAACCAGCCCAAAATGTCCTAAAATATCCAAAATCAGCCCCAAATGTCGTTGGATGCCACCCATGGCTTGATCTGGTCCCGCAGCCGCTGGGGGCACAAAAATGTCCCAAAATATCCCAAAACCAGCCCAAAATGTCCCAAAATATCCAAAAAACAGCGCAAAATACCCAAAAATATCCAAAAATACCCAAAAACCAGCTCAAAACCAACCAAAAATAGCCTAAAATATCCAAAAATACCCCAAAACCAGCCCAAAAACCAGCCCAAAAAAGCTCCCAAACTCCCCCCCCAAAAAACCCCAAAAATTCCCAAAAAAACTCCTCAAAATTCCCCAAAAAAACTCTGAAATTCCCAAAAAATTCACCAAAAACCACCAAAAAATCCCAAAAACTCCCCAGAAAAAACCCCCAGAACTCCCCAAAAAAACCCAAAACCCCCAGGAGTTTTTTGGCTCCCAGGATTTTTTGGGCTCCCAGGATTTTTTGGGCTCCCAGGAGTATTTTGGGTCCCAGGACTTTTTGGGATTCCAGGACTTTTTGGGGTCCCAGCAGTTTTTTGGGCTTCCAGGAGTTTTTGGGCTCCCAGGACTTTTTAGGATCCCAGGATTTTTTTTGGGTCCCAGGACTTTTTGGGTCCCAGGACTTTTTGGGGTCCTAGTAGTTTTGGGATCCCAGAAGTTTTTGGGTCCCAGCAGTTTTTGGGTCCCAGCAGTTTTTGGGTCCCAGCAGTTTTTGGGCTCCCAGCAGTTTTTTGGGCTCCCAGCAGTTTTTTGGGCTCCCAGCAGTTTTTTGGGCTCCCAGCAGTTTTTTGGGCTCCCAGCAGTTTTTTGGGCTCCCAGCAGTTTTTTGGGCTCCCAGCAGTTTTTTGGGCTCCCAGCCGTTTTTTGGGCTCCCAGGACTTTTTGGGATTCCAGGACTTTTTGGGCTCCCAGCAGTTTTTGGGCTCCCAGGAGTTTTTTGGGCTCCCAGGGACCACACCCAGAGCTCCACAGCAAACCAGAGGCATCCATGGGCCACACCCAGAGCCCCACAGCCAATCAGGACCTTTAACCACACCTAAAGCCCTACAACCAATCAGAACCTCCCTTAGCCACACCCAAAGCTCTGCAGCCAATCAGAATCACTCATGGGCCACACCCAGAGCCCCACGGCCAATCAGAACCTCCCCTAACCACACCCAGAGCCCCACAGCCAATCAGCGCCTCCCTGTGACCCCACCCAGCCCCACCCTCGCTGTCTCAGCCAATCAGAACCTCCCTGTGACCCCGTCTTCACTGTCCCGGCCAATCAGAGCCGGCCCCGCCCCCGTGCGCTCACCTTGCAGCTTCCTCTTGTCAGCCATCTTGGGGGGCTCTCGGCATCCCCTCGGGGGGCGCCTGCGGGGAGGGGTCAGCACCAAAACCACCCGGGACCCCCAAAAACACCCCAAAACCACCCGGGACCCCCCCAAAACACCCCAAAAACAGCCGGGAGCCCCCAAAACACCCCAAAAACAGCCGAGATCGGCCCCCAAAAACAGCCCAAAAACAGCCAGGAACCCCCAAAACACCCCAAAAACACCCCAAAAACAGCCGGGACCCCCAAAAACACCCCAAAACCACACAGGACCCCCCTGGGAACCCCCAAAACACACGGGATCCCCCAAAAAACCCCAAAAACGCCCGGGATCCCCCAAAATCCACTCTAATCCCCCCCAAATCCCCTCAGGACCCCACCCAGGATCCCCCAGATCCCACCCAGGACCCCCCTGGGACCCCCAAAAACCCCTCTAATCCCTCCAGGATCCCCCAAATCCCCCCTGACCCCACCCACAAATCCCCTATAGACACCTCAGACACCCCATAAACCCCTAGAGATGCCTCACATACCCCATGAACCCCCTATAGACCCCTCCTACAGCCCATAAACCCATACAGAACCTTCCTACACCCCATAAACCCCCTACAGAACCCCACAGACCCCCAACAGCTCCTCACAAACCCCTATAGAACCCCACAGACCCCACACACCCCTACAGACCCCTCCTACACCCCATAAACCCCTACAGAACCCCACAGACCCCCAACAGCTCCTCACAAACCCCTATAGAACCCCACAGACCCCACACACCCCTACAGACCCCTCCTACACCCCATAAACCCCTACAGAACCCCACAGACCCCCAACAGCTCCTCACAAACCCCTATAGAACCCCACAGACCCCACACACCCCTACAGACCCCTCCTACACCCCATGAACCCCTATAGAACCCCTCTCAACCCCCAAGCCCCCAAATCCCCCAATGCCCAGAGCCCGCCCGGAATCCCCGGAATCCCCCGGATGCCGGGATTGGCCGGAT